TGCTCAACCTCTCTAGCCATAAAAGAAATGCACATCAAAACAACATAAATATTGTTACTTCTTTTATGCATTGCCCTTGTGATTGCCCTTCTCTGTGAAGACAGGTTTTATGCCATGTTCCTAGGGCCTAACAGAGTTTCCTAGAACATAGTAAATGCTGAATGAATATTTATTGAATGAATACTTATAAAATTATATACCATATCCAAGTAGTTTCTTACAACTTAAAAACCCCTTTCATGAATAAAAGGAATTATTATATTCTACATAGAAATCAAAGATGAGAAAAGATAAACATCATCTCATAAGCTGCTCCTGTTCGTAGTGGGAATGGATTCCATCTTTTCTGGCTTCCAGTTATTACTCTGTGTCATTTGGCCTTCCTCTCTCACACTTGGAGAATTCTTTTGTTTTGCATTGTTTTGTTTCTATGTTTATTTGCGTTGGTGATTCTGGTGTTTCAATTTTAGTCCATGGGCTTGTTAGATTGGTACTGGAACCACTGAGCTATATCTTCAGCATAATTTTTTCTTTTTTGTTTTAAGGCTTGAACTCTGGGCTTGGGCACTGTCCCTGTGCTCTTTCGCTCAAGGTGAGTGCTCTGCCGCTTGAGCCACAGTGCCACTTAAGTTTTCTAGTGGTTTATTAGAGATAACAGTCTCACAGACTTTCCGGCCTCGGCTGGATTTGAACCATGATCCTCAGATCTCAGTCTCCTGAGTAGCTAGGATTACAGGCGTGAGCCACCGGCACCTGGCTGATTTTTTTTTATTCTAGCAATATTTGTGATTCTCACTTTCTATGTGGACACCACTTAACCTATGTTAGGATTCCTGGTAGACAGAATAGCAGGCATATGCCACAGTGTCTAACCATCTATTGAGAAAAGATTCTCTCAAATTTTTCTTCAACCATAATCTCAAACATTTCACCCTGACAAATGGTGAGGATTACAGGCATCAGCCACGTGTGCCTGGCTAGAAAATTCTTTTTAAATGAATATTATTTTGTAATATCCCAAATACAGTTGCCACAACTCCGTCTCTGCTCCCCCACCCCACCAATAACACATAATGTCGTTTTCCAGACATGCAATGGCCTGAACATCATTAATTTTCTTCAACTCCTAGACTTTATTGTCAAAATGATATATATTAACAGAGGAAAGAAGTATTATATTAAAAAAGTCTTCAAACTGAGTGAAAATAGAAATCCTGGTTGAAGAGAGAAGCTGTCAACTTCCTTACCTCATAGGTGCTGGTGATGCCAGATCTGTAGAACACAGGGATAAAAAGCTCAGATGTAAATGTGATAACAAAGAAATATGCAACACAGAGAAATATGAAGGATGCTCCAAAGCGGTAGACTTCAGCAGGGCTTCCCAGGACAGTGACAGCCGACATGAAGCTGGCTGTCAGAGACAAAGCTACAGGGCCAAAGCTCATTTGCCTTCCTCCTACCAGGAACTCCCCAGAGGTTGCCTTTTTCCTTTCCTTAATAGCAAAGAACACGCCAATTCCCACAGAAATGACGAAGAGGGCTGCAAATACAACATAATCCCAAGCTGAAAAGCTCTTCATCTTTATGCTGGAAAGTATGACCACAGAACGTTGCTTCCAATCAGGTCTTAGTACAAAAGATGGTCTCCAAAAGCAAAAGTTAGAATATCAGCTGCTTTACTGAGCTGGCTGGGATTCTTTGAGGAAGATGAGGACCATAGGCATGTGTATAGATCTTCAGACATCAAGTAATACTCAGGAAATGAATCAAAAAAGAAACTGTTGATGGAGCTTGCACAAGAGATGAGAATTTGAAAATCTGACCCCGCACAAGAGATATCTATTTCTGTCCTGAAGCAGAAACCATGGCGAAGAAATATCACAGGTCTTCTGCGATTAACCAGTGGGATTGATACGGACTTGCTAGATAATCTGCTTTTTTATATCCTCTAGATTTGTTTTTATCTTAAAGTTAAACATTGCTAGGAAACATGGAAGTGACACAAGTTGAATATCTTAGCATGTTAAATTAGTTAAATGGAACTTTAAAATGCCAACAGAACACTCCGGGGTTGTCACTCCCCTGATTGAGGGAGGGTGGAGAATGCTGTACTTGCAGTTGCCTAGGTCATGGGTATGGAAGGTAAGGAGCAAAGAACTATGGATCCAGAGACCTTTGGTCCAGTTTTGTCTCAACCACAAATGAGGTCCTTTTTACAGATCACTTAACTTTTATGAACTTCTTCTGGAACATTGAGATAAGACCTGATGTATCTTTCAGTTTCAAGCTCCCTAAACATTTATTCCTGATCCATAAAGTAAAAGATACCACTCTCGAACTTGTGGGTTATGATTTGTGTTTACAGATAAGCATTCTTGAACATAATATTCTCCTTCAGTTCCAAAGTGAATTTCCCAACAATGAATTGTTTATAGTCCTCAACTTTATCTTCTTCTTCCATTCATTTTCACCAGGATGCTGTACTTGTGTCCAGAGATTAAGTCAGACAAATGGAAGAAAAAGCAGTGAAAAACCTAATTAGGGATTCCTGTATATGTTCTCATATATTCTTATTCTCTCCCTTTCTCTCTCTCCCTATATGTCTATCTCCTTTGTGTTTCTGTCTGTCTGTCTGTCTGTCTGTCTCTCCCTGTCTCCATCTGTGTGTGTGTGTCTGTCTGCCTGTCTATCTCTCTGTTTTTCTCTCTCATGCACATATCTAGTAAGTCTTTGGGAGATAGTTTCTTTCTTTTATGCTTCTCTTTTCTGCTGGATGGGGATGATCTTCCCCATCCCCACCTCTACAAAGCCAGCTTACTACACAATATTTAAGTCAAGTCCCCTCAATTCTGTGCATTCTTCCTACCCCTCTGTCCCAATTCCTGTAGCAAACAGACTCCTGCTCACTGCTCTTTTCCTATTCTGAAATTATCCTCAATTATTTTAAGCTGTCTCTATTTGTATCTGGAAGATTCTGTCAAATGTTAAAGATGACCAGTTCCTTGTTATTTAAAATTAAGAAAATAAAGTTGGGTGCTGGTGGTTCACTCCTATAATCCTAGCTACTCAGGAAGCTGAGATCTGAGGATTGTGGTTTGGAGACAGCCTACACAGGAAAGATTGGGAGACTCTTATCTCCAATTATGCACCAGAAAGCTGAAGTGTAGTTGTGGACCAAGTGGTAGAGTACATCCTTGAGCAAAATAACCCAGGGACAGTGGTCAGGCCCTGAGTTCAAGCCCCACAAAAGGCATTACCCACACACACAAAATACCCTAAAATTGTCATTACAGAAAAAGATAATTATTTTGAAATAGAAACAACTCTAATATTATTTTTGCAATCTGGACTACTGAATTTTTGACTTGTTTAGTGTAGATTAAACTTTTTCTCTTTAAATTCTATCAGGTGTGAGAAAGTTCTAATCCATTGAAATATCATCTGCCTTACAACGAATCCATCCTGAGCTGTCTATGTCTATTTATTTCAACTTCTTCTCTGGATCTGGGGAGCTCATATGATCAGTGTTACAGAAATTCGGGTCTTTGCTATTTTTGCTTTAATCTGGACTTTTGATTATACTTATCTTGAGGTATAGACCTGCTTCATTTTGTTCCTGATCAAACTTGGCAGTTATTGTGACTTCTACTATTATGCTAACAGTGTAGGTTCACTCCAGGTGTCTATTGTACATTTTGATAAAGTTCTCACACCACTTCCAACATCTTCAATATTAACATATCTGTCATGATAATCTATGATAGTAACCTTTGAAGCTATCATTATAATTCAATATAATTATGTTGGAGTGTTGTGTTGCCCATAGAAGACCCTGAATGCAATAAATGTGTGTGTGCTACCTGCCCAATTCCCACCTCTCTACCTTTAGCTCTCTCTATTCTACTGAGACATAACACTATTGAAATATGCTAATTAATAATCCTACAACGTTAAAAAATTATCCTACAAAGTCTCATACATATTCAAATTTTAAGAGTCACACATCTCTGACTTTAAAACAAAGGCTAGAATTTATTCAGCTGATGTGGAGGGCATGTCAAAAATCAAGAGAAGGCTAGCAGCTGAGCTTATTGCACAAGTTAGACAAATCATGAATTTAAAGAAAAAGTCTTCAAAGGAAATTAGAAGTGACATTCCTTTTACGAAATCAAAATAACATTATTGATGATGCAGAGAAAATTTCAATCTTTCAAATAGAATATCAAACCAACCTTGACATTCCCTTTGGCCAACTCCTTATGTAAAGCAAGTTTCTAACTCTCTTGCATTCTATCCAGATTGAGAGTAGGGAGTCAGTAGAACTGTGAAGCCAACAGAGATTGATTCATGAAACTTAAGGAAGGAAGGCATCTCAGTGAAATGAAAGTGTACGTGATGCTCCAGGTGGTGATGTGAGAGTCCCATCAAGTCATGCAGAAGACTTAGGCAAAATGACAGATGACAGTAGCACACTAAGAAATTTTCAATGTAGATGAAAATGCCTTCTTACAGAAGACACATACTAGAACTTCCTCACCTGGGGAAGGAGAGACAATGCCTGCAACTTCAGAGGACAGGCCGGACTCTTTCACTGTGAACTAAACCAGTTGATGACTTGAAGTTGAACCTATTCTCATTTAAGATTCAGAAAAACTATTGGACATAAGAGAAGTACATTAATTCTACTCTTTCTATGATCTTTAAATCTGTTCCCCCTTTTGCAAAATGTTTTTAATCCTAACAACAAAATGTGGATGACAATACACTTATTTAAAGCACACATTATTGACTGCCCCATGCTAAATGTTGAAACCTACTATTCAGACGAAAATATTTCTTTCAAACTACTGCTCATTGATAATATCATTGAGCAACCAAGACTGACGGAGGGGTACAAGATTATCATTTTCATGCCTGTAAACCCAACGTTCATGTTGTGCCCACAGATCTAAGGGTAATGTCAACCCTTAAGTCTGATTATTTAACAAATGCATTTCGTAAACCCTATATCTGCCACAAATAATGACTCCTCTGGTAGATATGGAAAACTATATTTAAAACCTTTCTCTTGAAGAGAGTCATGAGTCCAGGTGCTACTAAAAATACTCATCATTCATACAAGATTGAGCAGGAATTTGAAAGATAATTTCTACCCATGTGGATGACTCTGGTGGTTTCATTTTTCAATGGAGGAAGTAACTGCAGATGTAGTGATAACAGAAACAGAATGAAAAGTGAAGTCTGGTCATGGGACTGAAACCAGTCCGATAATAAAGTTTGAATACACAGGAAATTTCCTTTATTGATGGGGATGAACAGTGATGCTTCGAAATGGAATCGACCACTGGTGAACATGCTGTCAACATTATTGAAATGGCAATAACAATTTATAATACTGAATGATTTTTTTGCCACTAAATTAGTGACAGAGTTTGAAAGGATTGACTCTGGCTTTGAAAGAATTACTATTATAAGTAAAATGCTATCAAACTTCATTGCATGTTATAGAAAAATCTTTCATCAAAAGAAGGATAAATTTGTGTGGTAAATCCAATAGCTGTTTTTGGTATAATATTGACAAAGCCAAGCCAGAATTCAGCAACTGCCAGTCTGAACAGTAACCACCAACACTGAGGCAAGGCTCTCCACCAGAATATCCAGAATAACACATTATAAATCAAATATATATGTTTTTATATATTGCACTCTATAGACTACAATGTTATCTGAACAATTTTTTTGGGGGGGAGTGTTGGACTTGAGGCTTGAACTCAGGGCCTAGGCAATATAGCCCTTACCACATGAGCCACAGCTTTACTTCAGCTTACTTTTGTGTGTGGTTAACTGAAGATGAGAGTTTCATGGATTTCCCTGCTCAAGCTGGCTCCAAACTTTGACCCATATATTTCAGCTTCCTGGGTAGGTAGGCTTATAGGCATGAACCACCGGTATCTGGCTAAACATAATTCTACATGAACTGGAAAACAAAAAGAATTCAGGTGACAGCCTTTTTACTTTTTAATCACTTTATTCCAATGATCTTGAACCAAATCCATAATATTTCTGAGGTTTACCTGTGTTCCAATTAGCCAACATATTTCCCTTGTCTCAGCAGAAAATCAGAACCTTGATTGGCTCCCAGAGACTTGACAGTGTTATATTTAATATTATTATCCTCTACAGGTTAATGTTCAATCCAAAAGACATGTAAATGACTGGTAAACATCAAGTGAATACTGGGGCTTAACACTATTGAAGTCAATAAAGTCTCAAAGTTAAATGCTAGTAGCTTTTAGGTGAAGGGTCGATGAGCAGTATTACTTTGAATTATATTTATGCAGACAATACTGTCCACATGGCTCCCATCAGTCTTTCAGAGCAGGGGGAAACAGAATGTTTCTCAGGAATGTGGTGGATTTTTCACAGCTCTCAGATAAATAATATATTGCTTTAGATAATTCGCTTATGACAAAAATATAGCATGGGAGGGAGTGGAGTTGTGGCGGAGGGAGGGAAGGGATGGTAGGGGAAAAACAAAGAAGGTGGCAACAATGCTTGAAAGGAAATGTACACATTACCTTGTTCATGTAACTGTAAACCCTCTAGACAGTATTTTTACAATAAAAATGTATCAAAATATAGCATCACTTTATTTACACTAATTTTCTATTAATTTCTCCAACTCTACCCATTTCCTTGATTTGGTATTATTCAGTGCCCTCAATTTGTCATTCTCTTTCCCATTAAGACTCACTCCATGAAAGGTCCATGTTAGTTATAGGGCAAAAATTTATGAATTATCTCTTCACTAAAGACAAAAGGACTACCCATTTCAATGACACCAGAAATGATAACATAGAAAAGGGGGTGGGTGTGATATGTTCCTTTCTTACCTAAAGAATTGTCAGCATCTTCTTCAACTTCTTTCTGATGCTCCAAATATCACATTCTATTTTTTTTTGTCGGGGGCGGGGGTCCGGTCATGGGGCCTGAACTCTGGGCCTGGGCACTGTCCCTCAGCTCTTCAGCTCAAGGCTAGCGCTCTACCACTTGAGCCACAGTGCCACTTCCGGCTTTTTTCTTTTTGCTTATGTGGTACTGAGGAATCAAACCCAGGGCCTCATGCATGCAAGGCAAGTGCTCTACCACTAAGCCACCTTCCCAGCCCTCTATTTTTTTTTGTTGTTGTTGTGGGGCCTGAACTCTGGGCCTGGGCGTTGTCCCTCAGCTCTTCAGCTCAAGGTTAGCACTCTACCACTTTGAGCCACAGCGTCACTTCTGGCTTTTTCTGCTTATGTGGTGCTGAGGAATCGAACTCAGGGACTCATGCATGCAAGGCAAGCGCTCTATCACTGAGCCACCTTCCCAGCCCCCAACCAAATATCAACATTCACTTTCTGTGAAAACAGATGTCAGCTTCATCATTGAAGAGGTAAACTTCAGAGTCCACTTATTAAGAACAACAGAGAGCATTTTTTAATATTCAAACAAGCTTTAATGTGTTAGGAAGAAGTGGCTAATTCTATAGCAAAACAATGTATATTACAATGTGAAGGTTTGTAAGCATATGAGATATTCAAGTATAGACATAAATGCACAGGTGACTAAGTATTCTGTAACATTTTAAGAAAATTGTTTCTAAGGGAACAATTAAAGGAATATTTCTTTAGTTCTAATGTTAGGACTAATATTTTAGAAGGATTGCAATATCATAAGAAGATTTCAATAAGGATCTCTGATAAATATTCTTTGAAAGATATATGCCTATGTTTGCTCTTTAGAAGGAAGTGGTATTATCCCATATAATCACAAAATAATAAAATCTATATTCAGAAATATCATTTGAAATAAAGCAAAGGAAAATCCAAATCACTTTTGTTGATTGGAATTCCCAGTTTCTGTCCACTTTGTATTAAGTAATAGACTTGGTTTAAGATGTATTGCATTCAAGGTTATAATGACATGTACTAAACCACATATTGAGTACTCAAATTGTAGTAAAACAGTAATAAATTTTTGTGTGTTTTTTTTAGTTTTTAGGAATTTATTTTTTAATTTATTTTTAATGTTTTTTATTGTGCAAATACTGTACAGAGGGGTTACAGTTACATGAGCAAGGTAATGAGTACATTTCTTATCACGCATTGCTGCCTCCTTTGTTTTTCCCCTACCATGCTTTACCTCCTCCACAACTACACATTCCCCACCCTGCTTAAATTGTAAAGTTCGTTTTTCAACATAGTGTCTTGTACATTTCATTGTTACAATGGGTCAATCTGTATCCCTATTTAAACATATTGTTTTTTCCCTTCCTTTCCCCAAATTATACAGACATCAAATACAGTGAAAACAGGGGTTATACTGTGGGGGAGGAACATACAAAGCAACAAAAAAATCACATGGTACCTTATAAATATGTTAGAAACAATATCAAGAAAGAAATAAACCACTTGTGTCCCTATCTGTGGTTCATTTCACTTAACTTCATCTTATCTGGTCATATGTATAAAGCTTTTGATTACTTGTCACAGACATATACTAGTTCTTGCAAATAAGGGAAACCATAGAAGCTACGTTTCTTTGGGCCTGGCTTACTTCACTTAATATAATTTTGTCCAAGTTTTTCCATTTTCTAAAAAATGGGCGATGTCACTCTTTCTGATGGAGGCATAGAATTCCATTGTGTGTGTGTGTGTGTGTGTGTGTGTGTGTGTGTGTGTGTGTATCCCACATTTTTTTTTGAATCAGGATTTTGGAATTTTCTTTTTTATTGTGAAAATACTGTACAGAGGGTTTACAATTACATGGGCAAGATAATGAGTACATTTCTTTTCAAGCATTGTAGCCTCCTCCTTTGTTTCCCCTTTCCATCCCATCCCCCCCCACCCCATATCCCACATTTTCTTGAATCTTTCATCTACCGAGGGGCATCTGGGTTGGTTCCCATTACTCTTTGGCAAATAATATGTAGTAAATCTTAAAAGCCTACTGTTAAGAAACACATAATATTACATTTAATGAATACTTATATTTATCATATTATTTCTTTTTATTTTCAAAAATGCACTCAACAATACATACTCTAAGAAAACAATTGCAAACCCTGAAGAGAAAAAGTAAAATTAATTAATTAAACACTATTTCCTTCACATATGTAGACTATCATTACAGGATGTTCTGAATGACCCAGTCATTGACTTAAATTTTCGCAAAAATTCGATTAAGTACAAATAATTTTTACTTCTTTTAATTAGTGACTAAACTAAAATTTAAAAATCTACCTCCAACTGGCTGAGATAAATGTGCCCAAACTCATTTTTAACCTAAGATATCTGATTTCATCACTCCAATTAAAGAGAATATCAGTCATCAAAATGAATTTGCTGAAATTGAGCAAAAGAAGCATGGAAATAACTCTGTTCTGTTCTTGTCAGTATTTACAAAGATTATGCTGACTTTACATTATTCTGGGATTTAATAACTCAAAGCACAATATTTTGAGACTGTGTTTAGTCTCTCTATGGCAAAACAGCCACAAATGTATCTCATTCTCATTGTGAATATTGAATTTAACACTGGATAGACCTACTACTGAACTGATGTCTTTGATCAAACTCTAAGCTGCCACTTTTAGGGTCAGATAAAGTTAAGAGAAGGATTCTGGGATGACTAATGACTGTGACTAATGACTATGAACTTCAGTTTCCTTCCAATTCTTCACACAATTAATATGGTTTCTGAGCACCATGAAAGATTTTCCCATGGGTTCCCATCTGCTTTTCACCTGAAGATGTTTCATATTTAATTTGGAAAGATAAGAAAGACTCTTCCTATTGACTTCTAAAACACCTGGAAATGTTAACTCTTTATTCCATAGATTTCTTTATACAAGGGAATACAGAAACATTTCTATAATAATAAAACCTTCTGGTTTTTTGACATTTTGTACATTTGATAACAAGTGTAAACAATTAGGAACTGAAAAGGAATAACAAAAAAGTACTGACAAATTGAAATGTCTTTGAATAATTTTTAGTAAAATGAAAACGTGTGTGGTATATGCTATTTTTGTCCAATTACAAGAGAAATTACAAGAGAAATTTTATTACCCTAAAGTGTACTCAAAGTATTCATATGTGTGTTAGTGTGAACACATACATAGATACTTATGTCCATAACTACACACATATTAACAGTAGTTTATCTAAATATCATGATTATTGGGTTTTTTTGCTTCTTTGTTTGTCAAAGTAGTAACTATGCCAATTTGACATAGCCTATATTTCAATATGAGACCGATACATATGCATATATTCTCATTTATAAGCATATCTTAACAACTAAATTATTTGAAAGCAATTGCATTGCCAAGTTTTCCTTACTAGCTTGGTTGAATCTCAAAAATGTTTCCAGAATTTCTGTCCCCAGGTATTTACAGTTGTACCTAAACATGTTCATTATTAAGTCATTCTTCCTCCTGTTCTCAAATGCATGTGTTTCTCAACTTTCTCATAATTGTAGCCCAATTTTTCTTCTCTGGGGATTACAACAATTATTTTTAACATTTGGTCATAACAACTTGAGTAGCAGGAATGATTAAATAAAGATTAAAGGTGGCAGAGAACTATGAATGGGGTGACATCCTTTAAGATTCACTATATTCACAAACTGCTTTGTTGAATGGCACTTCCTTTGTAGAACTATTTAAAGAATAGGGGCTGGGAAGGTGGCTCAGTAGTAGAGTACTTGCCTTGCAAACATGAGGCCCTGGGTTCAATTCTCATTACCAAATAAGCAGAAAAAGTCGGAAGTAGCACTGTGGCTCAAATGGTAGAGTGCTAGCCTTGAGCTGAAGAGCTGAGGGACAGTGCCCAGGCCCAGAGTTCAAGCCCCACAGCCAACTATATATATATATATATACATACATATATATACATACATACATATGTGTTTATATATATACATACATATGTGTTTATATATATACATACATACATATGTGTTTATATGTATTTATATGTGTTTATATACCAAAGGGTAGACATGGGAGGAACTGGCAGAAATTAGGTGATCCTGCTGCAGCTCTGTTTCAAATGTGACCATGCCCATATCAGAAGCTCAGTGAATGTAATATTTGAATTCCTCCTCTACATTCTACCTTTAAGCCTCCACAATTTTTGTTTTAGTTTTAGTTTTTTGTTTTTGATGGCTAAAACTACAAAGTGTAGGTCAGGGATGTAGGGGAGTGGTAGAGTAGATGTTTATTATAAGTAAAACACTAGGTCAAATTGCCCATGTCAATTTTCAAAATGAAAATCCTAGACAGAAAATTTGAAATTTAATAGGAAGCAAAGAGACTGTCTTGAATTATGATGGAATTCAGTCCTAATTTGTTCAAGGAGGGCATGACCAGGCTCTATGATCTGGTTGATAATTATCATTGCGAGTTGATCAAACAGCAATTGTATTTGTATAAATAAGTATAAATAGATGCAAGACACCCTTATCTTCTCACATTGAACAAATCTGCCTGCATTTGGCAAGAAGCATGATGAATGTATATGTGAATATTACACATGTGCATTTCCATGTACCATCCTACAAAGAAGCATGATGAGTGTATATGTGTGTATTACACATGTGCATTTCCATGTACCATCCTACAAATATGTAATCTTCTCTGACTCTGACGCCATATTGCTGTAGCTTTTGTTCTTGGGATCAAAGCCTGGACTATGGCTCAGGTTGCCTTGCCTGAGTCCATTCTGTAAGGCATATCCGGAACCTTGTTTCCAGGCACTACCATTTTCATGGTAATCCTGAAAAAAATGGAAAGGCACAAGTTAAAAAGAAAATCTTAACCCTTCACATCAATATAAAGATGTTACTGAGGCTCCCTTTTTCAATAATAATATATCAGTACAAATGTATCCCAAGTCTCTGTGACCTAAAATACTTCCCAACTGATAAAAGTGACTATTTCTAATGATAATAAAGAACAATTTAATTAGCATTCATTATGTTTTCAGTTACTTAAACTTACACCGTGTTCATTTAATACAACACTCCTGATGGTGGTCTGAGAACAGCAATCTCTCATTGGTAACAAGGGACCAAATATGTAATATCACCTAAAAGCTACTCAGGATTGACAATAATGACACTTCAGTGTTTTCTGTTACTCTCAACTCAGCCTTGAGAAGGGAGGCTTTGCAACAATAGAAATTATTACTTGTTCCCAGAAAGTTGAATCCAGGAAGAACAGTCAGTAAACTACTAGATAGAATTGTTATTTCTAAAACTTCCTCACAATGTACTTACACAAACAATAGATTATTCACCCAGAACCCAGATGCTTCCTCAGCAAATTAAGTTAGTTCTCTGGATAAATAGTTCCCAATCAGAAGTGTCCGTTTTTGAATCAAGACAGACCCCGAGTTTGTCACACCTCTGCTGACACACCAAGACTGACTTCAGAACCTAAGTGTGACTGTGCACTCCTATTTCATGTGTCAAACAATAATTTATCCAGTTCCAACCCAGACTTTACACTTAAAAGATCCCTCTCCCACAGAATAACCCCTGCTTTCACTTTATTTGATGTCGGTATAATTTGTGGAGAGGAAGGGGAAAAACAAGTCATTTAAATAGGAATACAGGTGGACCCATTGCAACAATGAGATGTACAAGTCGTTATGTCGAAAACGAACTTTACAACTTTGGTGGGGGGGCAGGGAGGATTGGGTAGGGGGGCAGGTGAAGGATGGGAAGGGATGGGAAGGGGAAACAAAGGAGGAGGCTACAATGCTTGATAAGAAATGTACTCATTATCTTGCCCATGTAATTGTAACCC